TTATGAAATTAATCTATATTTACCTACTTCTACATAATCATATAAGTAATTATTGGTGTAAATATATATGTTGGTGACATTACTCTTCCTTTACTAATGGCAAAAGAGTTGTCTAATCATCTTCATGTTAATTAATGGCACACCTCAAATATTGCTCTAGAACTTGTTTCATCAATTTTGTTTGCCTATCAATTTGAAGATAAAAAGTAAATGAAAGCTTTATATCCACCTTTAGAATCTTGAATAGGGTTCTCCAAAATCTTGATACAAATTGAATTTTCCTATCCGATATAATATCCTTTGGTAATCCATTATAGCAATAGATATTATCAATGAAAAGCTTAGTTGTTTCTTTACTTGAAATAGATTTTATTTATAGTACAAAATGTACCATTTTGGTGAAATAATCTATGATTATGAATATAGAATCATATGAACTTGAAAGATCTATAATAAAATCTATAGAAATAGAAGATCATAATTGTTTGAATATAAGCAATGGTTGAAGAAGTCCATAAGATCAATAATAAGGAGTTTTTGATCTTAAACAAACATCACATGATTGAAAAAAGTCTTTTATAGCCTTTCACATTTGCGGCCAACAGAAATCTCTAAATATAAGCTCTAAAGTCTTATTGTATCTAAAATATCTTGTTGCTCAAAAGTTGTGGCGTGCTTGAAGAACATATAAACATGCTTCTCTTTTATAAATATATATGCATCTTTCAAAATAAAATAGATTATTCTTGAATTCAAACTTTAAAACATCATGAAACTTAGAAGATAGATCTTAATATCATTAACAAAAAGATCAAAGGACATACTTAATTGAATTTATTTGAAAAATGTCAAATTAGTAGTCAATATTGATTTCATTACTTAAAATTGAAAATGTTCTAGGTTTAAGAAGATTGTTCTTTGTTGATCAAAAGATATGTCTCATTCTTTTGATATAAGATAAGAACATTTAGAGGGAGCATTTGATAAAACTTGTTGTTTTTCAAGTTGATATGTAATCTTGAAATCAAATCTTCATAATAATATGCTCTAATGGACTTTGCAATGATTCAAAACACGTGTCAATATGAAATACTTGAGATTCTTGTGATTTGTATATACTGTGACTAGATTTGAAGCGCCTTCTAAATAATGACACCATTCTTAAAATAAATCCATAATTACAAAAATTTCCTTGTCGTGGATCTCATAATTAATCTTGGCTCTTGAAAATTTCTTGGAATAGAAAGCTATTAGATGGACTTTGTTATCTATTTCCATTTATGACAATATTACATTCAAGGCAAAAATTGATGCATATGTTTCTATAAAGAATATCTTAGAAAAGTCAATGCAATATAAAGTTGATGCAAGAGTAAATTCTTTCTTTAAAATAATAAATAATACTTTAGCTTCTTTATTCTACTCAAGTTTGTCTTTACAAGTTGTAGAATGTATAAATGACTTTTCTGGTTCGTTATCGGTTAAATAGTAGTAATGTTGGGATTTAGATGAATGGTTAGTTCGATTAATTGTTAATAGTAGGAAGTTAGGAACATATGCGGTTAAGAAGCCAAAGTTTCACAACCTGTGGAATCTACTGAATGACGATTCATATTTTGGTAGGATAAAGAAGTTGAGGAAGAAGGAATGAGGGCCAGACTGTGATAGTCGTGAGCCAGGGTAAAGCTTGGAGCTACCTTTTTGTTTTCTTTGCTTTTGTATTTTTCTTTAGTATTGGATTTAAAAAAAAGATTGCTGAAACTGTGATTGAGATATTGAAAATTATGAATTCGAATTAATTAATTTGGAGAAAGAAAGTGTGATTGTGATAATAAAGATTATTGCATTGTGATAGTAGCACTGGAAGATTGAGTAAAAGTAAAGGAATTGAGAATTGAAGTACTGTGGAGAAAGATTAAGCATCCTATAGATGTTAGGAATGTAAGTGATATTGAGTAGCTGCAGGGCAGTGAACGATTGTAGAGATTGTGAAGGGATTGAATTGAGATGAGGAAGAGAACTTTGGAAGTTTTAGATAATTAATACATAATCAATTGTGACATAACATATCCAATTCATACAACGAGTCTTTCCCCAAGATCGAACCCACCTATACTGATCAAATATCTTGGTGTTTTGAGTCCGAATCAAATGACGATTACATTTTTGGCGCCGCTGCCGTGGATTGACAACAGTATGAAATGTTAAAGAATTGATGGTACAAAAGACGAGATCGAAGGAGTATGAGCGGTGATTACGACTATGATAATCACAGAAGGAATCAACAAGTAAAGGAAAGACAGGAGTGATTTTATTTCAGAAATTTATTACGACAACAACAAGAAGGGATTCAACGTAAGAAACGTCGATGGAGTTAGATAAAGCCGTGGCTGCATGCATGTGCGAGTATTCGAGCATATCCAAGTTCTGAAAGAAGTGCAATATTGCACCATTATATACCATTGGAGAAATTACCGCGAGCGCTTGTAGGGGATACCACGAGTAACGAAGCGTCAGAGTCAAGTTCAGTAATTATAAGAAGTTTAAGTACAGAAGAATTGAATAATAGCGATAGTTTACAAGAAAGAAGAGTGAGCAAATATCAAATTGGAACAAAAAGAAGAATTCATATTAATATAGCAAGAAGACCAGCGCAAGCACCAATGGCAGAAGAAACACTCGCAGTGCCAATAGTGGTACAGATAGGAGCAATTGGAGATCGCACCACCAGCATGGCTCCATTACCCACGTTTAATGGATGGCCGGGTTCTGATTCCGATCAACACCTGTCCCAATTTTTGACAGCCTGTATAGCCAATAATGGTAGAATTGAAGATGTCTGGCTGCGATGGCTGCCAGCGACCTTAAAGGATACATCGTTTGAATGGTATATTCGACAACCAGTGGGACAATTTCCTAATTGGGAAGCATTGAAAAATGCTTTCTTAACTCATTTTCGACCAATAGGTTTCGAAGATCGTCTTCGAGAAAATTTGCTGAACAGTAAAATGTTTGTGGGAGAATCGGTGCAGTCGTATTATGGCCGAGTTACAAATATATTACGTAAATGGCCAAACAATCAAATGCCAGAAGCGTTTATATTGTCAATAATAGTGAATGGGTTGCATCCCCGAGAATTGAAGATGTTTGTTAAGGAGTCTCAACCAGTTACGGTAGCTGCCTCCTTAGCACGTGCAAAGGTGTAGGAGGAGTGCTATTATGATCAGCTGTTGATGGTGGGAACCACAATGATTCTTAGTGTAGGAAATCAAGTTCCAATGACCAATACGATGATAGGGAGCTATCCACGAATGATTGCGCCTAGTATGGGAAATCCCAATTCTCAAGGAGTAGTTAATGCCACTCCTTTGCAGGCGATACCACCCGTGGCAACTTATCCTTCGTCGATGGCATATCGACAACCTGAAGTACGAATGAATGCAACAAATAACGATTCTAACGAAGCTCTATTGTTAAATCTAATGAAGAAAATGGAAGAATTAGCCGTGCATATGACTAAAGATAAAGAGAAAAGGCATAAACCTTCTAATATGAGACCTAATGTATGGTGTAACAACTGTAAAGGGCAGGGACACTTTGATACGGAATGCCATTCGCCTCATCAGAAGATGGGACAGTGTATGTATTGTGGAGGAAAGCATAACACTGCCAATTGTTGGTACTTACCAAGACAACAAACAATGATACAACCAACTGTATGGGATGTAAATCAAGTGCAAACAGGAAATACGGGTGGATGGAATGGAAATAGAAATAATAGAGTAAATCGTGGTTTCGGAAATTTCCAAAATCCTAACTATAATCAGCCCTACGGGACCAATATGCAGAATGGTGGCCAAAATCAAATGGGAAATCAACCATCGATGCCAATACAACAAATCAATTCAGCAATGGCGACAACTAGTCAACCTGGATCCTTTACTGCACCAACATCGAACCGACCTGAAGGTATGTCCCGACGGAGACTCCCAATGTACCTGACGAGACAGGAAGAAAATCAGTTCATTGTTTTCGATGCCGCCAATTGGGTCATTATGCAAGTGATTGCAACAACCCAAGATTTTTCGAAGAATACGCACTTCTTTGCACAAATTGTAAGCAATCTGGTCATTACCACTACCAATGTAATGTGCCTTTTAATCCAAATAGTAGGGACGAGCACATGACATCAACAGTACAAATTATAGAAGAAACAAACAAACCACAGGAATCACCGGTACATCGGGTGGAAGCGATTCACTCAGTATTGACAAGAAATCAGCAAAAAGGTAAAGAACCAATTCAAATATTGGAGAAATCGATATCAGCCCCGGTCAACAGACCAATACCAAAATCGGCTCCATTATTGGACGAAGCGTCACCTTCACAACCCAATTCGACCAATGTATTGGCGCGTCCACAAATTTCACAAGTACCAATATTACACCAATACGGTGGACAGTCGCACCAGTTAAAGGATCCAATTTTCAAGGAGCAGTTGCAACCAGAAATCGAGGAAGTACCAATTCCTGATATTGGAAGTACCAATATACAGGGACCGGGATCCGAAATCCGTAAGAAAAAAAAGACATTGGGAATCATGACCAATATGGAACCCTATGATATTCTGAAGGATTTAGGTTCAATTCAACCAACAATCATAATAAAGCAATAATTGGCAGTAGCACCAGAATGCCGTAACACCTTAAACTCTTCTTTGATTCGATGAAGAACTCGTCAAAAAGAAATTCGTGAAGTAAGTTTGAATCTGGATCTAGGCGCGTCGACTATTGATGTATCAATTGATGGAGTATTAGTTCAAGGTGTACAAGTGGATGGCGGGGCTAGCTTTAACCTCATGAATGTGGATACAATGGAAGAATTGGGATTGGACCAATTAATGCCAACTACGGTTGTTTTGCGAATGGCAGATTCAAGTCGAGTCCGACCTATGGGTACTTTATGAGGAATTGATACAGTTGTTGCGGGGATTACATACACAGAACGCCTACTTCAGGAAACAATCTCAACCAAGCAGCAGTAGCAAGCTTTGCTGATCTTTCAAGAGATGGGAGGTGATGAAGCTCAGAACGATTGGGGTCGTGGAACGCTAACAATTGGAAAGGGTAAGGATAAAATAGTGCTCCAAATGCATCCTGTTCGGGGAATGCTCTTTATGCAACTAATGCCTCTGGCTAGAGCGCGGTGTTCCCCGTCGAAAGGTATTCTAGCGGCTGGCCCTAGTCCAAAAAGGTGGGTATATTGCGGTGAAAACAGTCCGAGGTGGCGATGAAATGTTGAAAGTGGTGCCCTTCCTGGACCTATGAGCCTCCTGGTGCCACATGAAGGTTGAGAGTCCTCCAGATTGGTTCATGATACACGGTTGTTGAAATTTAGTTCGCCTGTCGTTTACTTCAACACTAGGTCAAACTACAATTCCCCTCATGTTCTTGTCGGTGATTCGCAGGTTCTCTGGGGTGGACCCAGTTTCTATTGGAGGAAAGTCGGACGCGTGTTCTTGTTTGGAAAGACGAAGGCGCTGCGATTCTTCGTGGTCTTCAGCCTGACTCTCAGAGTCTCCCAGTCACGCTGGTCTGCTGGAGTGGATCGTTTCGCTGATGTCAAAACTGACCAAAATATAAGATTTCAAAGGGCCAAGTCAAGACCATGAGTTCTGTGCAAATTTCGATTGCGAACTTCAAAAATTGTCGTGCAATTGTGAAATTCAAAACTCGCCTCTAGATGGCATGTGTACACATGGAGTAGCAGAGTGGTGGGGTGAAAGCAGAAAAAAGGTCAACCGCTTTCAACAGCAATGACTCCACAGAAAGTTCCTGATGAAAGTGCCAACATCGCGATGCTCGTAAAGGGCACACGCTGTGCATGAAATAGCAGGGTCGATACGAGCTTCAAAACGGAAGTCGCCACCCAACTACACCGTCTATCATTTCTCTGGCAATCTCTCCGATCGTTGTACTCAAGTTACTTACGAAAATAAACTAGCTCGTGGCGAACTCAGAGAGTGGGGTGTCTCCGCAGATCCCAACTGGTAGCATAACTGATCCGGTGCGTAGAACAACCTCTCTTGTTGCAGGATTAGCAAACAGACAAAGTCGGAATACGTTTGGCAGCACAGATTGAGAACTAGAGCGAGGAAATCGACCGGGGTTGTCCAATGGCTTCTGCTGGGGATGTTACGAGGGCCGCGCTTCCCAGGGCCCAGCCCCGCGCTGAAGGGCCGGCCTGCGTGCTAGGCATCGGCACTGCGGTGCCTCCCGCGGAGTTCCTGCAGAGTGAGTACCCCGACTTCTTCTTCAACATCACCAATTGCGGCGAGAAGGAAGCCCTGAAGGCCAAATTCAAGCGCATCTGTGACAAGTCGGGCATCAGGAAGCGCCACATGTTCCTCACGGAGGAGGTGCTCAAGGCCAACCCAGGCATCTGCACGTACATGGAGCCCTCCCTGAACGTCCGCCACGACATCGTGGTCGTCCAGGTCCCCAAGCTCGCCGCCGAGGCCGCCCAGAGGGCCATCAAGGAATGGGGCGGCCGCAAGTCCGACATTACCCACATCGTCTTCGCCACCACCTCGGGCGTCAACATGCCCGGAGCCGACCACGCCCTGGCCAAGCTGCTCGGCCTGAAGCCCACTGTGAAGCGTGTCATGATGTACCAAACCGGGTGTTTCGGCGGTGCATCCGTGCTCAGAGTGGCCAAGGATCTAGCCGAAAACAACAAGGGCGCCAGAGTGCTGGCAGTAGCGAGCGAGGTGACCGCAGTCACATACCGAGCCCCGAGCGAGAACCACTTGGACGGGCTTGTGGGCTCAGCTCTGTTCGGCGATGGCGCCGGCGTGTACGTGGTTGGATCCGACCCCAAGCCTGAGGTAGAGAAGCCATTGTTCGAAGTGCACTGGGCTGGAGAGACCATCTTGCCAGAGAGTGACGGAGCCATCGATGGACATCTCACCGAAGCAGGGCTCATCTTCCACCTCATGAAGGATGTACCCGGGCTCATCTCCAAGAACATCGAGAAGTTTTTGAACGAGGCCAGGAAGCCAGTGGGATCACCGGCATGGAACGAGATGTTCTGGGCGGTGCATCCCGGAGGTCCAGCCATTCTCGATCAGGTGGAGGCGAAGCTGAAGCTGACGAAGGACAAGATGCAAGGGAGCAGGGACATATTGTCCGAGTTTGGCAACATGTCTAGCGCCTCTGTGCTGTTTGTGTTGGATCAGATTCGGCACACATTATCAAGGTGGGTGCGTCCACTTTGGGCGAGGGCAGCGAGTTCGGATTCTTCATTGGCTTCGGACCAGGACTGACACTGGAAGTGCTTGTGCTCCGCGCCGCTCCCAACTCCGCTTAGATTCCACCCCACCTCTCCTTTTTACTCCCCATCCTCACCAATTTGTATCATATCATATTATTGCATTGCATAGCGTAGCATAGAAGTGTGCAATTCAATTTCAATAGTATTCCTTCCTGAGCTAGAGTTCGCGCTTAATTTTAAAAGCGAAATCAGGTTATCGAATCAACCTAACGTTCTTGCTTCAGCGAGCTCTTTACACACGCTAAAATCTAGGGTTCCACTGTTTCGTATCCAGAACCTGAACGAGCTGGCGCCTGTGGGTATATTTCTCTCGCTGTGCTAAATTGGCAGTGCATCTACCCTAGCGTTCTTATTGTTCACTCAATTTATTTCTGGAAGACAGGAGTTTGGCAATGTATGGTCACAATGCAATCAGAGGTGCGAAGTACAGTCTTATTTAGAAAATTTAGGTTGGAAGAAGATGAAGTGGGAGTGTCTAGTGCGCATTGTGCCGATGGATCTGAAATTCAGGAATGTAATTCATCGGTGAATCTCCGGACCATGTGTTCGTTTGAGCTTTTATATTTGCAGCCTCTAATTCAGCTGCGATTGTTCGACACTACCCACTGTTTCTTTGAGCTGTTTCTCGTCACTTTTGAATCTCTTGCTGTAGCATTGGAAACTGAGAAGAGTCTGCAAGGAATTGGCTCTTATTTGGTTGGTTGCATTGAACTCATGGTATCATGGTAGCATGCCCCAGCCAACAATTCATGAAAACTGTGATTTGTTGTCTGTCGGTCATTGAGAAAGTTAATCCTCCACCGGTTTGACCAAATTCTCAAAATTCAAATGTAGTTGGAATATGTTAAATGGTGTGGTATTCAAGACATTTTGGGCTTGGTGTAACATAAAATTCAAATATTAGGCATGGTGTGATGGAATATCCAAATTTTGGACATGGTGCAATATAATATCCAAGTCTTGGGCATGGAATAATATAATATCCAAATTTTGGGCATGGTGTAAAGCACATTGGGTTAATAATATATATGGTTAAAATCATCTTCTAGCAAATTCATGATCTTGTCTAATCTTAAAGTTTTGAAAACAACTATATCTTGTGCTAATGATAACATTCAAATTAACCAATACCTGAACAAATTCATGATCATTTGGCGCACCAATAGGGAAGCTTGGACAGAACAAAAGCAAAGTCACAAAATAAAGGGAAGATCATCACATCAATCGCTAAACATCCATCCTCTTGAAACTCCACTAAACATTCAAAGACATCTAAACAAATTAGAACAATCCATGACCACTCAAGTAAATGTCTTGGTTGTTGCTGAAGTGAACTCTTATTCATTTTTCATTTTTGCTTGCAAACAATGGAACCTTTCTTCCTCTTCTACTTCTAAAGTTAGGAAATATATACACAACTACGCATTGCAATTGCAATTTAAAAGCTGTGTGAGTTAACAGAGGTGGTCAAGGGTGAAGGCACCACACAACCTCAACTCCAAGCATTTACACAAGAATCTCCTACTAATGTACAATGTTAATTGTAACGTCAATGTGACGCACTTCCTACTAATGTACAATATTAGTTAATTGTAACGTCAATGTGACCCACACGAAGATGAACGGAACAAAATTGGGAGGTGAAGCAGTGTCAACTAGCAAGAGGCGCGAGCGGGGAAGGGCCCTGGTGTGCCTGTCCAGCCTTGAACGCATTCCAACAAAGGAGCCACCAATTGGCCTGCAGAAATGGCATTGAACACCTTCTCAATCTCTTGCCCAGGAGACACCGTCCTCTGCCCGGACAGGAGCTGCGTCTTCAAGTCTCCGCGCACTAGCTTGTATAATGGATACGTCCTACAGTCTTGAATCCTGTTGGGAACCGAGGATAGTCCCTTTGTGTCATATGCTTCTCGCACCGCGGGCACCACACGGCTCAGCTGCAGCTTCAGCTCTGCCTCAAACACTGGAATCTGCCTAAACACTGCGTTGGAGGTCTCCTTGTCGGCACTCTTCAAGGCACGGCTCACCAGCACCCCTCGCAGTTTCTCCATTAGAGGGTATGAATCACTGGTGGAATCGTCGATGTAGCTGAACACCGGCTGACGATCCACTACCATCAGTAGTTCCTTTTCGCAGAAGCGTGATGGCAGCAGTGATCCGTCGCTGCCCATGAAGAGCGTCTTCTTGGCCACCTGTGTCACTACTTGCTTCACGGCCGACTGCATGGTCTCTTCGACATGACGCAGGTCGACAGCCTGGCACAAGCCTACCAAGAAGGTGGCGCTCATGAGCTTGAGAATCTCCATGGCTTCCTCCGTTTTGCGGGCTGACACCAATCCCAGTGAGTTCACATCTTGGTTGTGTTGCTCCGCGCTTTGGACATGGGTGGTGACCGGGTTGGCTAGGTAGTTAATCTCAGATAAGTACGAGGCCATGGCGATCTCTGCCCCTTTCATGCCGTAATCCAGGCTGGGGTTGGGTCCCCCGCTCAAATTGGACGGTAATCCGTTGTTGTAGTAGTCGTTCACAAGTTCGGAGAATTGTGCGAACATGAGCTTAGCGATGGCGGCCAGCGCCAGGCGCGTGTTGTCCATAGACACGCCGATGGGCGTGCCCTGGAAGTTGCCGCCGTGCAGGGCGATGCCCCTGGCAGCGTCGATGATGGGATTGTCGTTCACAGAGTTGATCTCCCGCTCGATGGCGTGGGTGGCGTTGCGGATGACCTCCACCTGAGGGCCCAGCCACTGCGGGGAAGTTCGCAGCGCGTATCTGTCCTGCTTGGGCTTGCGCAGGGGGTCGGTCTCATTGAACTTGGCGGCAGCCTTCATGAAGGAACTCCCGTCCAGCACCCACTCCATGACAGCCGCAGCTTCCATCTGTCCGGGGTGGTGCTTCAGCTTGTGAGTCAGGGGGTCGGCAAATTCGGGCTTGCCCTGCATTACCTCGCAAAAGAGCGCGGACAGAACCTCGGCGAGCAACACCATGATGTTGGCATCGTAGCACACGGTGGAAGCGAGGGCGGAACCGACTGCGGTGCCGTTGACAAGGGCGAGCCCTTCCTTGGGCGCCAGCTCGAAGGGCTTCTCCACGCCTGCGATGCGCAAGGCCTCCAGCGCGGAAACCTCTCGTCCGTCCTCGGTGACGGCTTTGGAATTGGGGCGACCGGTAAGCAGGCCGGCGATATACGACAAGGGGACGAGGTCGCCGGATGCCGTGATGGTACCCCGCAAGGGCAACTTGGGGGTGACGTGCGCGTTGAGTAGCTTCTCCATAGCTTGGAGGATCTCCCAGCGGATGCCAGAATAGCCCTGCATCAGCGTGTTGGTACGCACTAGCATCGCCGCTCGGGCAGTCTCGGATGGCAGGGAGTTACCCTTGCTGAGGACTCCCGCATTCAGGAAGCGGATGAGTTCGCGCTGGAGCTCCACTCCTTGCTGCGTGCGACGATGAGAGGTCGCTCCGAACCCGGTGGTAACGCCGTAGATGTCACCTCCGCCCATGATCCTGTCGAGCACCCAGTTGGAGCTCTCGTCCACTCTACTCTTGGCATTGGCAGCATCGAGCACGACATGCACGTCAGGTCTGCGAGCAATGGCTGCTACCTGAGGTACAGTGAGGGTGGCTCCCTCGATCATGACCTGGGTGGCATTTTGGTAAGTGTCGACCATCCGCTTGATTTCTTCGAGGTGGCTGCATTCCATGGCCTTGGCGGTCTTGGCCCAGTTGAGAGGATCCGCACCATGAACTGCTCCATTACCGAGTAGGCCAATGCAGTACGGAGATGTGCTCAAATTCACAACATGTATTCATCAAAAAAATTCACCTATAGATCTGCAACAAAACTCTCGAAATCACTCAAAACATAAACCCCATTTTATTTCATAAAACCCAAGTCATCCGAAAAATAACTCAACTTTGCAAAGCTCTTACAAATTCATATCAACTCCAAATCACCCAAAATCAACGCCCATAGAAATTCTATCCAACCTTCTCTCCAACCCCACTCTCTGATCTGCCAAAGAGTCCCGGAGTCGTCGTCAAGACTCGGTTTTGTGCCTCAAGGTCTGATTTCCACCCTGGTTCATAACCGGGTCTCTCCGGGTATCAATATCTAGTTTTTCTAAGTAATTTTTTTCTAGAATTTACTCTTAACTTTCTTCTAAAGATTCCTATATGATTTATTTTCTCAATCTACTTTGATTTGCCTTACTTATGGTACTACAAAGTAAGTAGAAATCACCTTTCTAAAAGGCAGCATTGATACCTTTTAATTTTTCTATCCCTTTGGCTATTAACTATATTTCTAAGATAATTTGTTCTAATACTTTGAACTAAGATCTCTTAAATTATAATAATCTCCACACTCTTTCATCTATTAATCGTGTTATATCATGACATCTATCCTCCCTGAATCTGTGCATCCTCCGACATGCGCCAACGATTCTTCAATATGTTGATGTAGAATGTTCTTTATGTCACGGACCAAAAATACAAACAAGAAATCTAAACAAGAAGTTCAAGAAGAAATGACAAGAACTAGATTATCAGATGAGTACAAGAGCAACGCCAAGAGGATTGAGCTAGAGCTTCAAGAGATGTGTTGTCGAGACTGAAGAACTCTTCAGCCTCGACTCCTATATATACTACTGGCCTATGGTTCTAAGGAAGCGCATCAAGAAGCTTCCCAAGAACTATGAAGCTTCTCGAGCAACTACCCAAGAGCTATGAAGCTTCTCAAGTAACTTCCTAGAATCTACTAGAATATTCTAAGAATCTTCTAGAGCCTTCTAAGGGAATCTTTAGGGAATCTTCATAGAATCTTTAGGAAATCTTTAAAGAATATTCTAAGAAAATATTCAAAGAATCTTCTGGAAGTTTCTAGAGACTTCTTTCTAGAAGGTTCTAGAAACTTGTCTCTAAAAAGGTCTAAGGACTATGTCCCTAACATCACCTCCTCCTTTAGCTTCGAGGTCTCCGAGAAGCAATGTTATCGTCAGTCAATACCAACGCAAGAAAATGAAGATCTGTCGCATAACCTCTGCTATGAACTCCAATTGTTGTTCACGAGGCAAGTGATTCAATGGTCCTTGAAGCCAACGGTAGTGGCCCACGCCTTCAACTTCTGACCCAGTTTGAACCTCCGTGTCTTCATTGTGAAATTGTCCTACAAACACTCCTTCTAGCTGACCATTGTAGGCAGGCTCGACCTCAAATACAATCACCAGCGATTTGTTGCTCAGAATCCTTCGACGTCGTCGTGGTGCAGGCGATTCTTCATCTCGCGGTCGTCTTCGTGAGCTAGTTGCTTGAGATGACATGACAAGTGTAGTATCTTAGCTATCCATATTCAAAGGCTAAAACAATAAGAACAAACTTGGGCTACTAACAAAGTTCTACGCTATCTTGGAGAGAATGACTACATCAACTATGGATTTTGGTGGTGCTCTCTCTTCTTTTCTGTTTTCTGGATGAGCAAGCTTCAGTAAGAAGCTATCGTCGAACCGGCTTGGGTTTCTCAGGATATCGTCGATGAAACTCCTGTACCTTTTGCGGCGCATTCGCGAGATTTTTGGTCGGCTCCCATATTCGTTCATTAATATCGTAACCGCTCCAATGCACAAAGTATTCTAATTTACCCCGTCTTTGTCGTGAATCCAGGACCTTTTCCACCTCGTATTCTTTGTGGTTCTCTATTTCTATGCTAGGTGGTGGACATTATACTCTTCCAGGAAAAGACGATTTTCGATAAGGCTCCAACAAAGAAACATGAAAGACAGGATGTACCTTCATAGTAGCTGGTAACTCCAGACGATACGCTACAGGATTGATCTGCTTCTGGATAACAAATGGTCCCAATCTCCGATAGTCCAATTTCTCACATGGCCGCTTGGTCTTAATATTTCGTCGAAGCAGCCAAACTTTGTCTCCAATCGTGAATTTAGGTGCCTGATTCTGAAATTTGTCCACGGACGCCTTGTAAGATTCTTGGGCAGTTTACAATTGAAGCTTCAATGTAGTTTGAAGTTGCGAAAGCTCCTTCACCAATCCTTCAGCTGCCGGATTGTTAATCGTTGACGAACTCCATAAGTCAAGCTTTGGATGGTATCCATAATTGGAAAAGAATGGCGTTTGTTGAGTTGACGCATGAAGGGTGTTGTTATATGCGAACTCGGCTAGCGGTAGATATGCGGCCCAATCATCTTGTTGATAGTTGATGGTGCAACGTAAATATTGCTCTAAAACTTGATTCACCCGTTCTGTTTGGCCGTCCGTTTGAGGATGAAATGCCGAAGAAAGCTTGATATCCACCTTCAATATCTCAAAAAGAGATTTCCAAAACTTTGACTTTGGCAACATGTCTAGCGCCTCTGTGCTGTTTGTGTTGGATCAGATTCGGCACAGGTCTGTGAAGGTGGGTGCGTCCACTTTGGGCGAGGGCAGCGAGTTCGGATTCTTCATTGGCTTCGGACCAGGACTGACACTGGAAGTGCTTGTGCTCCGCGCCGCTCCCAACTCCGCTTAGATTCCACCCCACCTCTCCTTTTTACTCCCCATCCTCACCAATTTGTATCATATCATATTATTGCATTGCATAGCGTAGCATAGAAGTGTGCAATTCAATTTCAATAGTATTCCTTCCTGAGCTAGAGTTCGCGCTTAATTTTAAAAGCGAAATCAGGTTATCGAATCAACCTAACGTTCTTGCTTCAGCGAGCTCTTTACACACGCTAAAATCTAGGGTTCCACTGTTTCGTATCCAGAACCTGAACGAGCTGGCGCCTGTGGGTATATTTCTCTCGCTGTGCTAAATTGGCAGTGCATCTACTCTAGCGTTCTTATTGTTCACTCAATTTATTTCTGGAAGACAGGAGTTTGGCAATGTATGGTCACAATGCAATCAGAGGTGCGAAGTACAGTCTTATTTAGAAAATTTAGGTTGGAAGAAGATGAAGTGGGAGTGTCTAGTGCGCATTGTGCCGATGGATCTGAAATTCAGGAATGTAATTCATCGGTGAATCTCCGGACCATGTGTTCGTTTGAGCTTTTATATTTGCAGCCTCTAATTCAGCTGCGATTGTTCGACACTACCCACTGTTTCTTTGAGCTGTTTCTCGTCACTTTTGAATCTCTTGCTGTAGCATTGGAAACTGAGAAGAGTCTGCAAGGAATTGGCTCTTATTTGGTTGGTTGCATTGAACTCATGGTATCATGGTAGCATGCCCCAGCCAACAATTCATGAAAACTGTGATTTGTTGTCTGTCGGTCATTGAGAAAGTTAATCCTCCACCGGTTTGACCAAATTCTCAAAATTCAAATGTAGTTGGAATATGTTAAATGGTGTGGTATTCAAGACATTTTGGGCTTGGTGTAACATAAAATTCAAATATTAGGCATGGTGTGATGGAATATCCAAATTTTGGACATGGTGCAATATAATATCCAAGTCTTGGGCATGGAATAATATAATATCCAAATTTTGGGCATGGTGTAAAGCACATTGGGTTAATAATATATATGGTTAAAATCATCTTCTAGCAAATTCATGATCTTGTCTAATCTTAAAGTTTTGAAAACAACTATATCTTGTGCTAATGATAACATTCAAATTAACCAATACCTGAACAAATTCATGATCATTTGGCGCACCAATAGGGAAGCTTGGACAGAACAAAAGCAAAGTCACAAAATAAAGGGAAGATCATCACATCAATCGCTAAACATCCATCCTCTTGAAACTCCACTAAACATTCAAAGACATCTAAACAAATTAGAACAATCCATGACCACTCAAGTAAATGTCTTGGTTGTTGCTGAAGTGAACTCTTATTCATTTTTCATTTTTGCTTGCAAACAATGGAACCTTTCTTCCTCTTCTACTTCTAAAGTTAGGAAATATATACACAACTACTACGCATTGCAATTGCAATTTAAAAGCTGTGTGAGTTAACAGAGGTGGTCAAGGGTGAAGGCACCACACAACCTCAACTCCAAGCATTTACACAAGAATCTCCTACTAATGTACAATGTTAATTGTAACGTCAATGTGACGCACTTCCTACTAATGTACAATATTAGTTAATTGTAACGTCAATGTGACCCACACGAAGATGAACGGAACAAAATTGGGAGGTGAAGCAGTGTCAACTAGCAAGAGGCGCGAGCGGGGAAGGGCCCTGGTGTGCCTGTCCAGCCTTGAACGCATTCCAACAAAGGAGCCACCAATTGGCCTGCAGAAATGGCATTGAACACCTTCTCAATCTCTTGCCCAGGAGACACCGTCCTCTGCCCGGACAGGAGCTGCGTCTTCAAGTCTCCGCGCACTAGCTTGTATAATGGATACGTCCTACAGTCTTGAATCCTGTTGGGAACCGAGGATAGTCCCTTTGTGTCATATGCTTCTCGCACCGCGGGCACCACACGGCTCAGCTGCAGCTTCAGCTCTGCCTCGAACACTGGAATCTGCCTAAACACTGCGTTGGAGGTCTCCTTGTCGGCACTCTTCAAGGCACGGCTCACCAGCACCCCTCGCAGTTTCTCCATTAGAGGGTATGAATCACTGGTGGAATCGTCGATGTAGCTGAACACCGGCTGACGATCCACTACCATCAGTAGTTCCTTTTCGCAGAAGCGTGATGGCAGCAGTGATCCGTCGCTGCCCATGAAGAGCGTCTTCTTGGCCACCTGTGTCACTACTTGCTTCACGGCCGACTGCATGGTCTCTTCGACATGACGCAGGTCGACAGCCTGGCACAAGCCTACCAAGAAGGTGGCGCTCATGAGCTTGAGAATCTCCATGGCTTCCTCCGTTTTGCGGGCTGACACCAATCCCAGTGAGTTCACATCTTGGTTGTGTTGCTCCGCGCTTTGGACATGGGTGGTGACCGGGTTGGCTAGGTAGTTAATCTCAGATAAGTACGAGGCCATGGCGATCTCTGCCCCTTTCATGCCGTAATCCAGGCTGGGGTTGGGTCCCCCGCTCAAATTGGACGGTAATCCGTTGTTGTAGTAGTCGTTCACAAGTTCGGAGAATTGTGCGAACATGAGCTTAGCGATGGCGGCCAGCGCCAGGCGCGTGTTGTCCATAGACACGCCGATGGGCGTGCCCTGGAAGTTGCCGCCGTGCAGGGCGATGCCCCTGGCAGCGTCGATGATGGGATTGTCGTTCACAGAGTTGATCTCCCGCTCGATGGCGTGGGTGGCGTTGCGGATGACCTCCACCTGAGGGCCCAGCCACTGCGGGGAAGTTCGCAGCGCGTATCTGTCCTGCTTGGGCTTGCGCAGGGGGTCGGTCTCATTGAACTTGGCGGCAGCCTTCATGAAGGAACTCCCGTCCAGCACCCACTCCATGACAGCCGCAGCTTCCATCTGTCCGGGGTGGTGCTTCAGCTTGTGAGTCAGGGGGTCGGCAAATTCGGGCTGCCCTGCATTACCTCGCAAAAGAGCGCGGACAGAACCTCGGCGAGCAACACCATGATGTTGGCATCGTAGCACACGGTGGAAGCGAGGGCGGAACCGACTGCGGTGCCGTTGACAAGGGCGAGCCCTTCCTTGGGCGCCAGCTCGAAGGGCTTCTCCACGCCTGCGATGCGCAAGGCCTCCAGCGCGGAAACCTCTCGTCCGTCCTCGGTGACGGCTTTGGAATTGGGGCGACCGGTAAGCAGGCCGGCGATATACGACAAGGGGACGAGGTCGCCGGATGCCGTGATGGTACCCCGCAAGGGCAACTTGGGGGTGACGTGCGCGTTGAGTAGCTTCTCCATAGCTTGGAGGATCTCCCAGCGGATGCCAGAATAGCCCTGCATCAGCGTGTTGGTACGCACTAGCATCGCCGCTCGGGCAGTCTCGGATGGCAGGGAGTTACCCTTGCTGAGGACTCCCGCATTCAGGAAGCGGATGAGTTCGCGCTGGAGCTCCACTCCTTGCTGCGTGCGACGATGAGAGGTCGCTCCGAACCCGGTGGTAACGCCGTAGATGTCACCTCCGCCCATGATCCTGTCGAGCACCCAGTTGGAGCTCTCGTCCACTCTACTCTTGGCATTGGCAGCATCGAGCACGACATGCACGTCAGGTCTGCGAGCAATGGCTGCTACCTGAGGTACAGTGAGGGTGGCTCCCTCGATCATGACCTGGGTGGCATTTTGGTAAGTGTCGACCATCCGCTTGATTTCTTCGAGGTGGCTGCATTCCATGGCCTTGGCGGTCTTGGCCCAGTTGAGAGGATCCGCACCATGAACTGCTCCATTACCGAGTAGGCCAATGCAGTACGGAGATGTGTTATCATCGAGCATCATCATGTCTGAAGATGCCGCATCAATTTGCTCACCTGATCCGACGACAGCTCGTGGTGCCAACCCCATTTTATTTCATAAAACCCAAGTCATCCGAAAAATAACTCAACTTTGCAAAGCTCTTACAAATTCATATCAACTCCAAATCACCCAAAATCAACGCCCATAGAAATTCTATCCAACCTTCTCTCCAACCCCACTCTCTGATCTTTCAAGAGATGGGAGGTGAATCAATTGCTGAAGGGTGGGATGCAGGCCCTGTCCGGCATTCGCTGCTTGAGTGGGCCTCAGGGCGAAGTGAAGATTAATGAGATTCGGGGAATGCTCTTTATGCAACTAATGCCTCTGGCTAGAGCGCGGTGTCCCCGTCGAAAGGTATTCTAGCGGCTGGCCCTAGTCCAAAAAGGTGGGTATATTGCGGTGAAAACAGTCCGAGGTGGCGATGAAATGTTGAAAGTGGTGCCCTTCCTGGACCTATGAGCCTCCTGGTGCCACATGAAGGTTGAGAGTCCTCCAGATTGGTTCATGATACACGGTTGTGAAATTTAGTTCGCCTGTCGTTTACTTCAACACTAGGTCAAACTACAATTCCCCTCATGTTCTTGTCGGTGATTCGCAGGTTCTCTGGGGTGGACCCAGTTTCTATTGGAGGAAAGTCGGACGCGTGTTCTTGTTTGGAAAGACGAAGGCGCTGCGATTCTTCGTGGTCTTCAGCCTGACTCTCAGAGTCTCCCAGTCACGCTGGTCTGCTGGAGTGGATCGTTTCGCTGATGTCAAAACTGACCAAAATATAAGATTTCAAAGGGCCAAGTCAAGACCATGAGTTCTGTGCAAATTTCGATTGCGAACTTCAAAAATTGTCGTGCAATTGTGAAATTCAAAACTCGCCTCTAGATGGCATGTGTACACATGGAGTAGCAGAGTGGTGGGGTGAAAGCAGAAAAAAGGTCAACCGCTTTCAACAGCAATGACTCCACAGAAAGTTCCTGATGAAAGTGCCAACATCGCGATGCTCGTAAAGGGCACACGCTGTGCATGAAATAGCAGGGTCGATACGAGCTTCAAAACGGAAGTCGCCACCCAACTACACCGTCTATCATTTCTCTGGCAATCTCTCCGATCGTTGTACTCAAGTTACTTACGAAAATAAACTAGCTCGTGGCGAACTCAGAGAGTGGGGTGTCTCCGCAGATCCCAACTGGTAGCATAACTGATCCGGTGCGTAGAACAACCTCTCTTGTTGCAGGATTAGCAAACAGACAAAGTCGGAATACGTTTGGCAGCACAGATTGAGAACTAGAGCGAGGAAATCGACCGGGGTTGTCCAATGGCTTCTGCTGGGGATGTTACGAGGGCCGCGCTTCCCAGGGCCCAGCCCCGCGCTGAAGGGCCGGCCTGCGTGCTAGGCATCGGCACTGCGGTGCCTCCCGCGGAGTTCCTGCAGAGTGAGTACCCCGACTTCTTCTTCAACATCACCAATTGCGGCGAGAAGGAAGCCCTGAAGGCCAAATTCAAGCGCATCTGTGACAAGTCGGGCATCAGGAAGCGCCACATGTTCCTCACGGAGGAGGTGCTCAAGGCCAACCCAGGCATCTGCACGTACATGGAGCCCTCCCTGAACGTCCGCCACGACATCGTGGTCGTCCAGGTCCCCAAGCTCGCCGCCGAGGCCGCCCAGAGGGCCATCAAGGAATGGGGCGGCCGCAAGTCCGACATTACCCACATCGTCTTCGCCACCACCTCGGGCGTCAACATGCCCGGAGCCGACCACGCCCTGGCCAAGCTGCTCGGCCTGAAGCCCACTGTGAAGCGTGTCATGATGTACCAAACCGGGTGTTTCGGCGGTGCATCCGTGCTCAGAGTGGCCAAGGATCTAGCCGAAAACAACAAGGGCGCCAGAGTGCTGGCAGTAGCGAGCGAGGTGACCGCAGTCACATACCGAGCCCCGAGCGAGAACCACTTGGACGGGCTTGTGGGCTCAGCTCTGTTCGGCGATGGCGCCGGCGTGTACGTGGTTGGATCCGACCCCAAGCCTGAGGTAGAGAAGCCATTGTTCGAAGTGCACTGGGCTGGAGAGACCATCTTGCCAGAGAGTGACGGAGCCATCGATGGACATCTCACCGAAGCAGGGCTCATCTTCCACCTCATGAAGGATGTACCCGGGCTCATCTCCAAGAACATCGAGAAGTTTTTGAACGAGGCCAGGAAGCCAGTGGGATCACCGGCATGGAACGAGATGTTCTGGGCGGTGCATCCCGGAGGTCCAGCCATTCTCGATCAGGTGGAGGCGAAGCTGAAGCTGACGAAGGACAAGATGCAAGGGAGCAGGGACATATTGTCCGAGTTTGGCAACATGTCTAGCGCCTCTGTGCTGTTTGTGTTGGATCAGATTCGGCACAGGTCTGTGAAGGTGGGTGCGTCCACTTTGGGCGAGGGCAGCGAGTTCGGATTCTTCATTGGCTTCGGACCAGGACTGACACTGGAAGTGCTTGTGCTCCGCGCCGCTCCCAACTCCGCTTAGATTCCACCCCACCTCTCCTTTTTACTCCCCATCCTCACCAATTTGTATCATATCATATTATTGCATTGCATAGCGTAGCATAGAAGTGTGCAATTCAATTTCAAAGTGTGCAATTCAATTTCAATGGTATTGCTTCCTGAGCTAGAGTTCGCGCTTAATTTAATCAACCTAACGTTCTTGCTTCAGCGAGCTCTTTACACACGCTAAAATCTAGGGTTCCACTGTTTCGTATCCAGAACCTGAACGAGCTGGCGCCTGTGGGTATATTTCTCTCGCTGTGCTAAATTGGCAGTGCATCTACTCTAGCGTTCTTATTGTTCACTCAATTTATTTCTGGAAGACAGGAGTTTGGCAATGTATGGTCACAATGCAATCAGAGGTGCGAAGTACAGTCTTATTTAGAAAATTTAGGTTGGAAGAAGATGAAGTGGGAGTGTCTAGTGCGCATTGTGCCGATGGATCTGAAATTCAGGAATGTAATTCATCGGTGAATCTCCGGACCATGTGTTCGTTTGAGCTTTTATATTTGCAGCCTCTAATTCAGCTGCGATTGTTCGACACTACCCACTGTTTCTTTGAGCTGTTTCTCGTCACTTTTGAATCTCTTGCTGTAGCATTGGAAACTGAGAAGAGTCTGCAAGGAATTGGCTCTTATTTGGTTGGTTGCATTGAACTCATGGTATCATGGTAGCATGCCCCAGCCAACAATTCATGAAAACTGTGATTTGTTGTCTGTCGGTCATTGAGAAAGTTAATCCTCCACCGGTTTGACCAAATTCTCAAAATTCAAATGTAGTTGGAATATGTTAAATGGTGTGGTATTCAAGACATTTTGGGCTTGGTGTAACATAAAATTCAAATATTAGGCATGGTGTGATGGAATATCCAAATTTTGGACATGGTGCAATATAATATCCAAGTCTTGGGCATGGAATAATATAATATCCAAATTTTGGGCATGGTGTAAAGCACATTGGGTTAATAATATATATGGTTAAAATCATCTTCTAGCAAATTCATGATCTTGTCTAATCTTAAAGTTTTGAAAACAACTATATCTTGTGCTAATGATAACATTCAAATTAACCAATACCTGAACAAATTCATGATCATTTGGCGCACCAATAGGGAAGCTTGGACAGAACAAAAGCAAAGTCACAAAATAAAGGGAAGATCATCACATCAATCGCTAAACATCCATCCTCTTGAAACTCCACTAAACATTCAAAGACATCTAAACAAATTAGAACAATCCATGACCACTCAAGTAAATGTCTTGGTTGTTGCTGAAGTGAACTCTTATTCATTTTTCATTTTTGCTTGCAAACAATGGAACCTTTCTTCCTCTTCTACTTCTAAAGTTAGGAAATATATACACAACTACTACGCATTGCAATTGAAAAACTCTTCATGGATTGCAGCGCTTTATGCTTTAAGCCCTTAATAGAGGTCAAGGGTGAAGGCGCCACACAACCTCAACTTCAAGCATTTACACAAGAATCTCCTACAAGTCCCTACTAATGTACAATATTAAGTGTAACTTCAATGTGACGCAGTTCCTACTCATGTACAATATGAATTGTAACGTCAATGTGACGCGAGAAGATGAATCGAAGAATGATGACAAAATTGGGAGGTGAAGCAGTGTCAACTAGCAAGAGGCGCGAGCGGGGAAGGGCCCTGGTGTGCCTGTCCAGCCTTGAACGCATTCCAACAAAGGAGCCACCAATTGGCCTGCAGAAATGGCATTGAACACCTTCTCAATCTCTTGCCCAGGAGACACCGTCCTCTGCCCGGACAGGAGCTGCGTCTTCAAGTCTCCGCGCACTAGCTTGTATAATGGATACGTCCTACAGTCTTGAATCCTGTTGGGAACCGAGGATAGTCCCTTTGTGTCATATGCTTCTCGCACCGCGGGCACCACACGGCTCAGCTGCAGCTTCAGCTCTGCCTCGAACACTGGAATCTGCCTAAACACTGCGTTGGAGGTCTCCTTGTCGGCACTCTTCAAGGCACGGCTCACCAGCACCCCTCGCAGTTTCTCCATTAGAGGGTATGAATCACTGGTGGAATCGTCGATGTAGCTGAACACCGGCTGACGATCCACTACCATCAGTAGTTCCTTTTCGCAGAAGCGTGATGGCAGCAGTGATCCGTCGCTGCCCATGAAGAGCGTCTTCTTGGCCACCTGTGTCACTACTTGCTTCACGGCCGACTGCATGGTCTCTTCGACATGACGCAGGTCGACAGCCTGGCACAAGCCTACCAAGAAGGTGGCGCTCATGAGCTTGAGAATCTCCATGGCTTCCTCCGTTTTGCGGGCTGACACCAATCCCAGTGAGTTCACATCTTGGTTGTGTTGCTCCGCGCTTTGGACATGGGTGGTGACCGGGTTGGCTAGGTAGTTAATCTCAGATAAGTACGAGGCCATGGCGATCTCTGCCCCTTTCATGCCGTAATCCAGGCTGGGGTTGGGTCCCCCGCTCAAATTGGACGGTAATCCGTTGTTGTAGTAGTCGTTCACAAGTTCGGAGAATTGTGCGAACATGAGCTTAGCGATGGCGGCCAGCGCCAGGCGCGTGTTGTCCATAGACACGCCGATGGGCGTGCCCTGGAAGTTGCCGCCGTGCAGGGCGATGCCCCTGGCAGCGTCGATGATGGGATTGTCGTTCACAGAGTTGATCTCCCGCTCGATGGCGTGGGTGGCGTTGCGGATGACCTCCACCTGAGGGCCCAGCCACTGCGGGGAAGTTCGCAGCGCGTATCTGTCCTGCTTGGGCTTGCGCAGGGGGTCGGTCTCATTGAACTTGGCGGCAGCCTTCATGAAGGAACTCCCGTCCAGCACCCACTCCATGACAGCCGCAGCTTCCATCTGTCCGGGGTGGTGCTTCAGCTTGTGAGTCAGGGGGTCGGCAAATTCGGGCTTGCCCTGCATTACCTCGCAAAAGAGCGCGGACAGAACCTCGGCGAGCAACACCATGATGGTAGTGGCTGACGATCCACTACCATAAGTTGATAAAAGTAAGTTAATTCTGTAGTATTTAGTATGGAAGCTTCCTAAAAGCTTCATTGACGCTGCTTTGGTTTTGAAGGCATCTTTAATTGAGTTTTTGGATTAGAAATGTCCGTCCTCGGTGACGGCTTTGGAATTGGGGCGACCGGTAAGCAGGCCGGCGATATACGACAAGGGGACGAGGTCGCCGGTCTTGTAAGTCAAGGCATGTGTCCTACAAAGTCAACACTTATTGGAGGTCCTATAGAACGTCACCATGTAGCTCGTAGTTAGATAGTATATATAGAGAGAAGTGTGAGGCCTTCTATACTCTTGTGAACTCCTTTCTTGCTTCTAGTCTAGTTTCAAGGGTCTTTAATTTTCTTGTCTTTTGGCAATAGCCATTTCAATTTCTCTTTCAATATTCATACTTTTTTATTTTTATTTTTTTTACCTTTCTTAGAGTGAAGGCTCACTTGTGTGAATTGCTTTTTCATCGAGTTCTTGTCCTTGACAGATTGACAAGAGTACACCTACAATATCAGAGCTTTGTCTAATCTTGATTTAGAGTAGATTACTCCTTTTTTCTTGATAAGATATAAGCATATTAGAAGTTACGGATTACCTTCTTCTGAACTAATATTGTGCTTAGTATTTTCTTTGTTATGAAGTCCTCTCTTCTATTTGTCTTGAGCGATATTAGACATCTTCTCTTTTTTAAGTGTTATCATGGCAGAACTTGTTGAAATGAAGAGTGCAATGGCACAAATGCAAGAGCAATTGAGGGAGTTAATGCTTGTGATGCATCAACTCAATTTACCACCACAAGGAGCAACGTTATTGATCGATTGTCTTGTCATAAAATACGGATCTTATTGGTTGCAACACGAAGTGCATCATGTTTTTCATACATGGATCAAAACTCTACCAGAAAAGCCTCTAGATTATCCTATATTGGATCTCCTGATTCAAGAAAAGATGAAAACCACGATAGAGCTGAACTTAAAAGAAGCGTACCAATGAATCTAACTTGCGATCCTGGAGTTAGATAGCTTTGGGGTTGAAGTTCAATCACAAGTTGCACTTGTATTAGGGACATAGTCCTTAGAACCTTCTAGAGACAAGTTTTTAGAACCTTCTAGAAGCAAGTCTCTGGAACCTTCTAGAAGCTTCTTAGTTGATAGAAGATGTTAGGAACATAGTCTTTAGAACCTTCTAGAGATAAGTTTCTAGAACCTTTTAGAAGCAAGTCTCTGGAACCTTCTAGAAGCTTCCTAGGTCGTAGAAGTTGCTTGAAAAGCTTCCTAAATAGAAGTATATATTGGAATCGAGGCTGAAGAGTTCTTCAGTCTCGACAACTTATCTCTTGGAGCTTTAGCTCACCTCTCTGGTGTTGTTCTTGTATTCATCTAATTAATCTAGTTCTTGTCAGTTCTTCTTCAACTTCTTGTTAGATCTCGAGTCTATATTTCTGTGTCTGTGACAGTTTGTCGAGACTTCACTCACCTGAGATATCAGAGTAAGTTTCTTCCTCGTTAGAGTGTGGATTACCCCTCTGCTTGGAAGTGTACTAGCATTTTAGAGGTTGAAGATTACCCTCTTCTAAACTGATACTTCTTTTGTTATAATATTGGAGTCTTATTCTTCTTGGAGAGAGTGGATTACCCCTTTTCTTGAATCTATTAAGGCATTTTAGAGGTTGCGGAGTACCCTCCTCTAAACCAATATTGTCTTCTTGTAGAGTCATTTCTGTCCTTCTCTTAGAATGGCCGGAGGCCAAGACATTAGTATGACGGAAAGTTCAGAGTCGAAGTTAGATGCTATCATGAATGCCCTCGCTATGTTATCGCAAAGAACTGTAGAGATTGAAGGAGTCGTGGCAAGGCTTCATAATGATGGAGCATCTAAGATGGCACAATCTAGGTTGCAGTAGCTTCAAACTTCTGCACTTGGAGAAGCAACTTTGCCTGAGATTCGACAAGCACCGTTGGTTCGACAACATAAGGAGCCCTAAGTTAGCCTTTCGGACAAGTTCGATGGTACGCGTTCAAAATTTTGACGATTCGTCAATCAAATCAAGTTGATAACAGTTTTACAACCCGAATGCTATCCAACGGAGGAGTCACGTGTGGGGCTTGTTGAAACCTTACTTACAGGGCAAGCTTTATCATGGTTTGTTCTTTTGTTTCAGAAATGATCATCCATACTAAACAACTTTGAAACCTTTTTGGAGGCATTTGCGGAAGCATTTGGTGAACACGACAAGGTTCAATGGGCTACAACAAAGATCCAATCACTACGATAAGAGATGCGCTCTATATCAATCTATGCATTGGACTTCAGGCAATTAGCATGCGACATCAATTGGGACGAAGAAGCGTTGATGAATCAATTCTATTGGGGTTTAAAGGATGATGTGAAGGATTTGCTGTTAACTCTTCCTGATCCACAAACGCTCAACAAAGCTATTAGCCAAGTTATGAAGTGTGATAATCGCCTATTTCAAGGCCACCAAGACCAACGTTCAAGACAACATACAGTTCACCATGCCCCAACTATGTCGGCAAGCAGTATGAATTCACATTCAGAGGTAGAAGATATGCAAATTGATGCGGTACGTGTCAAATCCCTTACCCTAGAAGAAAAAAAGCGGCATATGGAGCAAAGTCTATGCTTGTATTGCGGTGAAGAAGGCCACAAAGTTGGAAATTGTCCCAAGAAGCAAAATTGATGTATTGTCAGGACAAGGGGTGCATTTGTTCAGGAAAACGAGGATGCCTAGCCACAATAGGAACCGTGCGACTGGACAGTGAAATATCGCAACAACAACCAGGTTCCTTTCTTTTCGCTCAACTAGTCCTTTGCTTTACAATCTCTTTGCTTATTGGCCCTCAGAAATAAAGAACCTTAGCATTATTAGATTCAAGAGCATCTGCTTGTTTCTTAGACGAAGAATTTGCGAAGCGTCATAAGATCCCTTTAGTACAAAAATCCAAATCTGTTCACATTGAGGTCATAGATGGACGACCTTTATTGTCTGGTAGTGTCATCCATGAATCAAAACCTATAGAAGTGACATTTAAAGGCCATAGTAGTCATATTATTTTCAATATTATTAGAACCCCATCAAATCCTGTTATTCTTCGTCTTTCCTGGTTGGAAAAGCATAATCCATCCATAGATTGGAGGTTGCAGAAGATGACCTTTCCCACAAAACCACCTAAGAGCAAGCCTAGTAAAAAATCCCAAATAGAGAAATCCTTATTCATTAGAGCAAGAGCGTTTATAAGATTATCCAAGGAAGGTACACCGTTTGTCATTTATGTGACTCCAACTACCGGGGAACAGATCTCGACAACAAGTATACCTGAGCAATATAAGAATTTTAAAGACGTATTTCAAAAGAAGAATGCCGACATGCTACCGAAACACCAACCATATGATTGCGCCATAGACTTGTAGGAAGGAGCACAATCGCCTTTTGGCCCAATCTACAATCTATCACAGATGGAGTTGGCGGAGTTGCGGAAGTACATCGACGAGAATCTAGCCAAGAACTTCATCCGTCATTCAAAATTGTTAGTTGGAGCACCCATCTTATTTGTGAAGAAGAAAGATGGCTCGTTGCGGATGTGCGTGGACTATCGAGGCCTCAATAAGGTAACAAAGAAGAATCATTATCTGTTACCCTTGATTTCTCGTCTCTTAGAACAACTTGGACGTGCAAGGATCTTTAGAAAAATTGATCTAAGGAGAGCTTACAACCTCGTACGAATCAAGGAAGGAGATGAGTGGAAGACAACGTTCCGTACAAGGTATGGCTATTTTGAGTATAATGTCATGCCTTTTGGTCTTACCAATGCTCTAGCGGTCTTTCAACATATGATGAATGACATTTTTCGAGAGCACCTTGTCGATTTTGTTGTCATCTATTTGGATGATATTTTGATATTCTCCAAAGATGAAGAAGAGCATGAAAAGCATGTTCGTTTGATCTTGGAGAAACTATGCGAGCGAGGACTATATGCTAAGTTGGAGAAGTGTTTATTTCACCAAATAGAGATGGAGTTTCTGAGGTTTGTTTCGACTACAGAAGGCTTGAAGATGGACCCCAAGAAGGTGGATGTAATCGTGTCTTGGGAGGTTCCGAAGATGGTTAGAGACGTACAATACTTTCTTGGTTTTACTAACTTCTATCGGAACTTCATCAAGAATTACTCTCAAGTTGCTGCTCCTCTCACTCGGTTGACATGCAAAGATAAGCTGGAATCGAGACCTCTAGCAAAGAAGGCATTTCAAGACTTGAAGACCGCATTTACTACGGCTCCAATCTTGGTACATCCAGACTTTACAAAGGCCTTCTATTTAGAAACTGATGCTTCGGATTTTGCTTTGGGAGTTGTACTTTCACAAATGGGAGAAGATAAGAAGCTCCATCCAGATGCATTCTATTTTCAAAAGTTCTTTGCTGTTGAAATCAATTATGACATCTATGATAAAGAACTTCTTGCTATAGTAGATTCTTTCCAAGAATGGCGTCACTTTCTTGAAGGAGCTGTACACCCAGTGACCGTATACACAAATCACAAGAATTTGGAGTATTTCATATCGGCTCAAGTTCTAAATCGACGTCAAGCTCGGTGGAGTATGTTGCTATCTAGGTTCGATTTTGTTATCACTTATCGACCTAGAAAGCAGCAAAGACTATCTGATGCCTTATTGAGGAGATCGTATCTTGTACCAAAGGCTGGAGAAGCAGCGTTTGATCAACAATGTACAACATTGTTGAAGCCAGAGCAATTTCAGCTTTGCACTACTATTGTGTCAATTGATGCTGACTTCCTAAATCAAGTACGTGCCGTAACCATTGAAGATTCAATAGCCATTGATATTAAGTAGTGTGCCAATGACGACAAGTTCAAGGTGGAGGGAGATCTTTTATACTTTGAGGAGCGATTATATATCCCAAAAGGACTAGCACGACTC